TCTGTGCCGTTAAGTGTTCTCCAGGAAATGCTGCGTTGATATGCAAAACATTTTGTTTTACGTGGATATTGGAACGCGAGTGAAGCCTAGGCTACATAATAAATAATAATTTCCCATTCAAATACTTTGCGAATACGAAAACATTTGATTTTGTGTGGAATGAGAGACCCAAGGTTGATTTCAGTTTCGTTTTAGCCTAAATGAATTCGTTTTGGCTTGTCGTTTATATTGCTATAGCTTCTTATATTTTTAATTCTTGTTCTTTTCTAAATACTGTTAATTGAACGGATTGGTTGTGGAGTGAGGGGAACTAAAATAGCCTAGCTAGGTTTACAGTGTTTATTATAATGTTTGTAAACATTTCGCCTCGGCATTAGGCCTATTTCTGAATGAAACAATAAAATGTGACTTATACGCGACTTGTTTTTTCCCCCCTAAAAAAACACTTTTTTTTATTTTTATACGCATAGCGTATTTTAACCATGCAGCAAACCTTTTTAAATATTTTGATAAATTACTACAAAAAAAAAAGACTTTTTAAAACGTTTAACTGATTGTATTAATCGGTCAAAAGAATGGTCAGTTGGCTTCGTGTGAGAGGATAATAAATATTTCATGTCAGGGAATAAAAACAGTGCTTTGCCCTTTTCTTCCCTCTCTCTGGCCCCTCTTGGAAGTGCCTCTGGGTGGTCTGGACACGACTCAGTGCTGCCACTTGCTGGTCGTTCTGCGCTACTGCAGTGAATGCGGCTGCATGCAGTCCCATGGACGGACAGCGGGTGGCAGAGTTCAAAGTGCAGCTGCGGTAAAGAGGGGAGTGGCAGCTGATGTGTTTGGCTAGACCAGGGGGAGGAAAGTTCGGTCCTAGAGAGCCGCAGTCCTGCAGAGTTCAGCTTCAACCCTAATCAAACACACCTGAACTAGCTAATCAATGTCTTCAGGATTACTAAGGCTATAGGCATAATCAAACACACCTGAACAAGCTAATCAATGTCTTCAGGATTACTAAGGCTATAGGCAGGTGAGGTTTTTTTTCAGGGTTGGAGCTGAACTCTGCAGGACTGCGGCTCTCTAGGACTGAACTTGCCTACCCCTGGGCTAGACAAAGCTAGCCTCATTTTTTCATTTTTAGTTGCCTGAATATGAACCATGCATGTTTCTTCAGCTCCCTTCCACACATGGCATGAAGCTGTTTACTTTATTAAAGAATTAAATGCCTTCAATCCCTTTTTAATTGACTTTGTTCCACCCAGGGCTTTTGGCACAGGACGATTAGAATTATAAACCCAGTTGTGGCACCAGCTTACGTTTGCCAAGAGCTCAATTCTTGCGATGCTGTTAACAAACAAATTATGTCTATTTATTTTAACGCATGTTTATTTTTCTCTTTCAGAGTAAACGGGACCATCTGTTAATGAATGTGAAATGGTACTACCGTCAATCTGAGGTACCTGACTCCGTCTACCAGCACCTGGTGCAGGACCGCAACAATGAGAACGGTATGTGTGTGTGTGTGTGTTGGTTGAAAAACACAGGACTCCCGTTTGAAGGGTCCTTCTTGCCCGGCATTATTTATGTAACCACCCGTGGTTATTGGTTTGTGAAGTTTCATAGAGAACGGCATCTCAAATAAATGTGGATTTGGAAAAAAATACCACCCTCCTGTCCTTGTTTCCCTGGAAACGCTCCCTCAAGAGCGACAGCGGGGCCATGAAGTGCAAATAACTTTCAATGTAATGTGCCCTCCGAGCTCTCATTCTCCCGACTATCAGCAGCAAATCTGAGCTTGATACACACATCAGGCAGTAATAACTGGCTGGGGGGACTCTGCCCGGCCGGGGCTTTGGCACTTTGATTCACACCACACTCTAATAAAGCATTAAGAAGGCTTGCGTTTCTGCCAGCTTGTCGGAGAGCAGCAGCCGCCACCTGCTGCACCACTGACTAGTCTGACATGGCGGCCATTGTTATTTGTGCTGATGCCATCTGAATACGAATGTTCATCCAATACTGTCTGTATGGATCTTCGTGACATTTGTCATTGAAATATATTGAAATATTTGCCTGCTTCACCATTAAAATACAGTTTAAGTATTTCATGCAGCTTTTTCAATTGCATTGATTGTTTTATTATTATTTTTTAATTGAAACCCATTGCTTAATTCCTTTCCATTCTATTGTCCATTTCCAAGAGCTTCCATACTGTTACTTTCATTGTGTCTATAACAGTCATATTTCATAAGCTGTGAGATTGTCTGTGCGTCTGTCTGGTTTCTTTTGTGTCTCGCCTGCGTTTATTATGTGTGCACATTTTTATTAGCGGCAGTCTGGATGCCTCTCACGCTCAGTGTCTGTTTTATGTCTCTTTCTCCAGACTCTGGTCGCGAGCTTGTTATTACTGATCCTGTGGTTAAGAGCAGAGAGCTCTTCATCTCAGACTATGTGGACACCTATCATGCTGCTGCCCTCAGGTAACAAACATAATTAAATTTACCTGTGCTTAACAGTTGATTAAATTGTCCACAGCAAAGTGCTTAAGACTTCACCTAATACAGAAAAACTTCTCAATATTCAGTGCACCTCAATATACCTCTCAATCCCAATATATTTAGCCTTTTGAGTATATATATATATAAATATATATATATATATATATATATATATATAAAAAAAAAAGATAAACGGCACTAAGTCACATTTTATTATTTCATTCAGAAATAGGCCTAATGCCGACACGAAATGTTTACAAACATTATAATAAAAACTGTAAACATAGCTAGGCTATTTTAGTTCCCTCACTCCACAACAACTCTTTCAATTAACAGTATTTAGTAAAGAACAAGAATTAAAAATATAAGAAGCTATAGCTAAACGACAAGTTCTTTCGTTTTCTTCATTTATTATTTAAGTAAAAAATATATTTCTCATATAGGCCTATTTATTCATTATATATATAGCCTAGCTTTATTATGTTTTTCTCCGCTCGCAGAAGCGCTGCAGGTGCGTGATGTGATATGAAGACCATGTGAATCCTCATGTTCTGTTGTTTGCTGCTTTTTGCGCATGTAAAATTAATCCCCGGGAAACAAATGTTAGTATTTTTTAACGGGTCACAGACACGTATCCATTCTAATTTAATTAAATTCGAATTTAAAATAATCTTGTCGGTTAACGGTTAATAATCGGTTAACAAGCGTCGGTTAGGAAAAATAACCGGAATGAACATCCCTAATATATATATGTATGTATAATGTACAACAATGTTTTTCCCCCAATTTTACTCAAGTTGAGGAATGAGGATGAAATAAAGACAACAAAGAATATTTATTTTTATATTGTATTTATTTATTTGTATTTATGTAAAATATTGTTTTAATATTATTATATATTATTTGTATGCACCAGTATAACAATGCATAGTTATATGCAGCATTATGTAATATTAAAGGCAGAGTAAGTGATTTTTCAAAAACACTTTAGAAATTTAATAGTAATTTATTATTATTATTTTTTACATGAAAAATTCTGCATAGAGTCTTTTTGGATATTAATAATAAATGTCGTTTTTTTTTTTTTTATTACTTTTAAAGATAAGAAATATCCTGCTTAGGGTCTTTTTGGATGATAGCTGCTTTAAGTTTTGAAATGATTCATTTTAATGGACAGTTTGAACTGATTCATGGAAATGAATCAAACTTACAATTACTATTAAAACATAATTTTGCACAAGTTTAAATCAGAAGTTATTAAACATGTCTTAGGCTGGTACTCTCACACTGTTGTTACTCATGGTGGCTCACTGGCAACTCGTGAAACTACTCTAATGAATATGCAAATGCATTGTGAATAAAAGCCAGCACTAGCTCCCATGATTTATAGTCATTAAAGAAACCTCTGGCAGGTACAGATGCTGTGGGATGTAATACTGGAGTCTTTAAGAGCTGTAAACAGACATTTTGATCCTCTCAGTTGACTACAGGAGTGGTCGTCTCAGTACAGACTACCATTTCACAGCAATTCTGCATGCAAAGCATTACGGAAAGCAATTACGTTCTTTTGCGATGAGGCTCAGGAAAACGAGTACAGGCATGCTTATTGTCAAGAAGCCAGACCTTCTCAGTCTGTCTTTACCCATGTGATGTATTTTCCCCCCTCTCTCTCTTTCTCTTCCTCCCTCCTTTCCTTCCCTCTCTCTTAACTGAAACCATCTGGAGGCAGCACACTAAGCCACAGCTCTGAACCACTGATTTCAGGGCAAATTAGCTGCAACTTCTGCTGCACAGAGAGCCCTTTGATTTGACTTATTACAGGGCTTTAGATAAACTCAATGAATTCCACTAGCATGTCGTAATGCCTGCTCCAAACCTCACATTCCTTTCATCTTATGAGCAAGGTATTGAACCAGTGCAAAAACAATGATGCCTATTATTTTGATAGCGCCTGACGTTGGAAATGTAAAGTGTAGAAAGGGGGGGATTGTAAAAATGTCATGATTCATAGAGGTTTTTCGCTCTGCATTGTTTGAAAAGCCTGTGGTATCTGTCACCTTTTGTTTGTCTTAACAGGATGAAGGGAAAGGGCATTAATAATACAACTATACAGGAATACTCTGATCCTGTAACCCCCAAGATTACCCACACTTAAAAAAAATCTGTATCAGTATCCCAAAATTATTTTTTCTACAAAAGTAGAAAAAAAACAGGCAAAATAAAAGCATAAGATATTGATATAAATACGTAAGAGTGAGTAAATAATGGCAAATATTCATTTTGGGTGAACTATTCCTTTAAGAGTAAATCTGGAAATGTATTTGCTCCATGACACTGATTTGTTTGCTCTATTTCTTTGCAGGGGGAAATGTAACATTTCACACTTTTCTGACATATTTGCTGCCAGGGAGTTCAAAGCACGAATCGACTCTTTCTTCTACATCTTAGGATATAACCCAGAAACCAGGTAAGCCTTTACTGACATCAATAATCAGCCCTCCACAGGCATGTTCTGTCTTCAGATCCTGTCACAATATTTTACAAACAGAGATTTTAGGATTCATATCAGATGTGCAGTTGCTGGGTTTGCTTTATTCACTCTAAATTGTCCAGTAATGCATGAAGGCAGTTTGAGAATAGATTAAATCATGAAGAATACAGTCTTCTGTTTTATAGCCTGTCTTTGACAATGGAAGTCTGCTTTTTGAGTTTTATTTTCCATCTCCAGCATTTTGGGGAATTGTATCACACCTTGAAATATGTGCGTGTTCAAAAGTTTGGGGTTATTGTTTTTAAAGTAGTCTTCTCTCCAAGACTGCATTTATTTGATCAAAACACCGTAAAAAATAAAATAATCCTTCCGAAATCTATGCTGATTTGGTGCTCAAGAAACACTTATTATTATCAATGTTGAAAACAGGTGTGCTGCTTAATATTTTTATGGAAACTTTTTTTCAAGATTTTTTAAGGAATAGAACGTTCAAAAAAACACATTTATTTGATATTATTTTGTAACATTATAAATGTCTTTACCGTCACTGTGAGTAAACGTAATAATTTCTTTAAAAAAAATTACTGATCCCAAACATTTGAACAATAGTATATATACTTTAATATTTGACCATAATATAATATATTATATACTTTCATATTTGACCATAAAATGTAATGGTTCTTGGAATCTGATTTAAGCTTGCTTGCTATAGGAAGAAATGTGCGGTTACATTTTTTTTATGCTGTGAAGACTCATTATTTGGTCCTTTTCTCACAGATACATGTTACGTTGTAGGATGTTTTTACTGCATGACCAAGTCTGACATGCTAGTCACACTGTTGTAGTATTAATAATAAAAAGAAAGACACCTCTCAAAGTTTATTATCTACCATAGCAATCATCCAGGTTTTGCTCGAATATCCATTAAATATTTTACGGTCTAGTCTCTGTTGTGCACTTGCGTTACAGTACGGAGAACAATGATTTGTTTTAAAATGGCTGTATGTCTTTTTGTTGTTAATGGGATACTTTTTAAATAAAGACAGACTATTTAGACATACTCAAATTTAAAATTGATGTAACTTATTTTTCTGAGATGGATTAAACATGCAAAGATATTTAAACAATCCAGATTTACTCTTAAAGCAATTGGAGGGAAAATACTCAAAATGAAAAATTTATATTTACTAATTAATTCATTTACTCCTCATTTAGGCCTATATGAATTATTTATTGTATATATACCATAATGTGTCCCACTGTCTTTTTATAGTGATTACAATTATTTTATTTGCAAATGATGTGTGCATTTTTAAATATATTTAAACGTACAATAGTTCAACCAAAAATCAGTTCCACGCTCATAATGTGACATCTCTATTAAATGTCCAAGCATATTGGAAATGAAAAGAGTTAAACCCCCCATTCCTTTGTGTATTACAATCATAGCCTGGATGCTTGTGTCAGGGGAAAAAAGCAGGATTACAGTAGTACCCATTACCATAGTCATGTGATGCTCCAATAATGGGGTGCATTTGGAACCCGGGGAAGTTTGAGGGGTAATAAGATGCTGCGCTGATAAACAGAGGAATGGTGTTGAGTTGCTGGTTGGGAGCCCCCTTCACGGGTCCCCCACGCAATCACAGTCTTTCGCCCTCTCGACTCCCTCCTCCTGCTTGTTTGGTATGCAGCAGCAGCAGCATGGTGTGTGTGTGTGTGAGAGAGAGAGAGCAGGAGAGATGGGCTGTGATTCCTCTGTGTGTGTGTGTGTGTGTGTGTGTGTGTGTGTGTGTGTGAGTGAGTGAG